TTTCTATACATAAGATAAATGTCCTAATAATTAAATGTTTTCAGTGATTGAAAAATCAACAGCATATTTGTAATTATTAAGATATTTGTCAATAACAGTATAAATGTTAAGCTGAGAAAATAAACAGTTAAATATTTAATATTAAAATAAATAATAAAAACGTATAATTATTGTGATAAAAATTGTTTAATTCGGGAGAATTAAATTGTCCCAAGTGTCGGGACAATCATTCCCTTACAATTTTATCTTCTTTCTCTATTGAGTAAAATTATCTATATTCTAATTTTTTAAATATTGTAATGTATTTATCTCCACATGTAGTAACTATGTTGTTTATGTAGTATATTTTTAATGTATATTTAATTTTACTTTTTCAGTTCAGTTACTGGTACATTTGGTATAATGTAGTATAACAATAAAAATTAATAAGTATTCTTTTTTTAGACTTAAATGTTAATTTTAGGATCACTAACTGAAATTTCATATAGATATTAATTAATATTGTAATATTACTAATATTAATTAATAATAACATTAAACTGATAATAGATATTAATTAATATTGTAATATTACTAATATTAATTAATAACATTAAACTGATTTTATCTTTTCATTAGTTTAATTATTGCGACATTTACCTTACGTACAAGGCAAAATGTAAAACAATTAGAATAGAAAAAATCAAGGAAAAGTCATAGCAGGATTTTAATGCTCGATATTATTATAAGTTATAATAAGATATTATTATAAGTTATAATAAGATATTATTATAAGTACGACTTTATACAATTTCTAGTTCTTCAAATTAATGTAACCTTACATGTAAAATATACGTACTAAGTGAGGCTGTTTCATGACTTGACGAAGCAACATCTTTATCAAAGATTAAACCTAAAATGTGTGTCTTATGATTATAAAATATTAAAGCCAGTTATATTTTTGGAAAAATATCGTATTGCTTCTTTTGTGAATAAAAATATTGGATTGTTAGATATACTAAATAAAATAATCTATAAATATATAGTGCTAAATATAAGTATTTGGATGTTAATCAAAATATTATAAATATGTATAGCTACCTGTATATTCTGTGCTGTATGATGGAAACTTGATTAATGGCTCATCAGCTGGTTTCAAATTTTCTTTATCATTTCTGTGTCTTTTATTTTTGTTTTTTATTATTGGAGCCGGTGGTAATGATGAAGCTTGTAAGTCTTCTTCTGATGATAATGAAAATATTCTTTTTTGAATTCTTTTTCTTGTAGTAACATATTCTGCCTCAGAATTTAAGTCACTCGTGTATTCAGCAGTACATGATTTTGAGCGTGCTTTTAAATAATCATCTAAAAAATAAGGAATTATTCTTGCTGTTTTTTGAGTATTTTATATAATTACATTTAAAAAAACTGAATATATTTATTTTAAATATAAAAACTTACCAAAAGTAGAATTTCTAAAATTTCTAATTTTATAGCTAGGCCAGCATGTATTTAAAGCTTCATGCTTTGTAATTGCTGCTCGTAACTTGTCATGCGAATATGTAGGCCAATGACAATATTGTCCTTGTATCCAAGTTGAGGGTACTGCTTCCACAGTTTGATCTTCCTCAAATTGAACAACAGTCCAGGTTTTTCCATCCATACTATCTTTACAATTACATATCAAATATAGATTCAAAAATGTAAATATTTTAATAGCAATTTTTATATCCAAGTAGAAAGAATAATACAAGATAACACTCTAATTACTCTAATTTTCTTAATCAACTCTATGAAATGATTTTTTATATTTTTATAAAGGACGTGCAATATAACTTTTTTCTCTTGACCCATATGGTACATAGATTAAGTCTCATTTTTAATGCAAATATAATGATAACATTTCAATAAACTTATTGTTAGTTATAAAAGAGATTATATAATAAAAAAGTTCATTTAACTTTAACGAGTAATTTATAAGGAAAGAGGAGTTCTATACAATCACGTTTGTCATTTCAGCAATAAAAAAGATAATAGTTATTATTAATATAATATTATAACGTTAAAAATTAATGTTCATGTATTTGTGGAAATATTACATGTCTTTCCTCCCAATTTAATATAACACATTTAGATGAAATATCCTCTACATTAAATATTTGAAGAGGACCAAGATTATTAACTAAAAAGATTCCAATTTCTTTTGATTCGCATGGATATGTATAAAAATTTTCTGTAGTCAAAAATTTTCTACCAATCAACTTAAATTTATCAGTATAGTCAACAATATTTTCGATTAAAATTATATCTCCATTGTGAAAAGTACAGCAGTTATTGGGATAATCTATATGTAGCACAAAATCTTGTAAAATAATTTTTCTAAATTGTTTATAAATGTTTAGATTAATAGTAGGACCATTAGAATGTTCATTTTTACAAATAGGATATCTTTTATTTCTTATTTCTATTTGTTCATGCGGTTGAGAATTTTGTTCACTTTTTCTTTTAACTATTTGAGCTAACGGTTTTTCATTTTTCCGGATAGTCTTTAAAATCGATTGTAAGTAATTCTCGAATGGAAAAGCGCTAAAATTATCTAATGGGCCATAAACTCTTACATCTTCAGAAAGATGCAATAAATTGTGAACATTATGAGATATATTTTCTGCACCATATAAAATTTTAAATGTATTCACGAAGTATAAAAGGAGATCAGAAGCATAATCAATAAAATGTAAATATTTTGAACTTGCTAATATAGTTGTTGCAATATGTAAACTAAGAAAATTAATATATCTATCATTATTTAATATTTTTTTAAGAACAACAGGCCCAGTGTAAAGCAGAAATTGTCTAAATTCAGTAGCTTTCCATCTTTTTGCTTCCAATAATGATCGTGGTTTACGATTAAATTCTACCGGTATATTTTTGGCTTGATTAATTAAATTAGAAGATATATCTGTAATATTTCGACTTGATAATTTTACCGGAGGTTTTCCAAAGCACCATAAATTTACTATTAATTTTTTTACAACTCCAAGATATATCAAATGCATGGGATCCAAAGGAAAAGATTTAATCATATCAAGATTAGGAATCTGTTCTAACAGACTAGTACCAATATGATGATCTTCTTGAGCTTTTAATCTATAATCAATATCAGTTCTTAATTTTAAATGATTTGTATTAGGAAAGCAGACACGATTATTGATGTAAGTTCCTTCCTCATGGCATTTAGTACATGAATAATAACCCATATGACCAACAGTATAGGTAATATAAGCTTTTGCTACTGCGTCACATATAAAATAAGATATTTTTACAGAATAATGTTTATTATCGATAATAGTTCCAGTATTAATAACTTTTGTAATATCCTCTACAAAATCCTTTAGGTAACAGTTAGCTTCTTTAGGCTTTGCATAGCCATGATATATGCCAATCATATCAACATTACTATTAACTTTAATAAGCCGACATAAAATAGGATAAACTTGACTTCCAGAACTCTTTGCTAAGGGCAAACCATCTATATTAATTGCAAGTTCTATTTCAGTACTTTTTGGAAAGTCATTTGAATAACGTACAAGATACTTTATACAATTTTCTACACCAAAATGATAATATTGGCCAGGTTCAATAACTTTGACCTTAATTTCACGACAAGTTCCTAAAAGACTTCGAGCATCAATAGGCAATTCAGGAATATGAAATTTTAATAATTTTAATAAACTATTTAATGCTGTATGCGAAAT